GATTCATTAAGTTCTTTTTTCAAATCTTTGTTTTCTTCTTTCATATTGACCAAATCATTTTCCAGTTTTTGAATACGGTCATTGAAGATTTTTATTATGGTATTCTCGTGCATTTCGAGTAGTTCTTTTACTTGAGATAAAGAATATTTATTTGTAATTTTAATAAATTTAGTAAGTCAATTGATTTCAACGATAAAGTTGGATAATGATAAGAATAATATTTATATAAATTAGTAAATTTGATTTTTTTCAAATACACGTGTCCGTTCGCCTATCTTCTCGGCTGCCGATATCTAATATTTTTGAAAATTATATGCAGACATTGAAGAAAGAATTGAAAAATTTTAAGAGTCCTGTTGTTAAAATAACAAAACAATATCAAAATATACAATATTTATTTAATACAAAGTCTCAAAAATTTCAGAGAAGCTAAAAAATTCATGCTTTTACCTAGAAGAAGATCAATTTCATTTTGTAGATGAGAAATTACCATCAGGATTTTTTAAATGTAGAATATTAAAGCTTGACAAATTGAAAATACTTAATCTTACAATGTTAATTACATTAATTAGAATAACAAATAGATTTTTTTTTTGTTAGGTTTTTATTGAATTTTTTGCATTATTTAAACCTTTTTTGGTTATTATTGAATAATCAGTTATAAATAATATAACATTTTTACAAAATAGTAATCTTATTTGCACATTTTATGTATTTAGCAATCGATATAAAGGGTGCTCATAGGTAGGTTAATGTTATATAATATATGTTCACACTGTAAAATAATAGACATTAATTTTATAATAGTATACTGGCAAATATTTATAATAAAATAATACAGTGTTATTAATACTGTAAAAATAATTGTCCAGGGCTAGATAATTTTAAAAATTGCGTCAAAAGGATGAAAACTTAGATGTCACAATTGATAGCCTTTCTTGACCCACGGACAAAATTAATTATGTCTTTATAAGTTTCGAGCGTGAAAAACTCCTTCTGCGCTTGCCAGAGTTACAGGTATAGTCAGTAAAATTCTATACGTTTTAAATGCATTTGGAAATGGGTTTTCAATCTGGTCAATAAATCTCAAAATCCTTGTAGCTGTTTCCACCTCAGCCAGTAGAAGTTCTCGAAGAATCTTAAGTTCAGAAAAAAGGTCATTTCCACAAACATTATTTTCTTCTTCCAAACTTAGAAACGATTCACTTTACACTTTTGAAACAATTTATCTTCTTTAACTACTTTTAGTTTTTTTACATGATACAAAAATCCAAACATATTATCGTAATAAGTTATTTGTTCAAACCTTCTGCAATAACAAAAAAATACTCCACTTTAAACATTTGCTTGGCGGATCCTGCCATAGGATCTACCTCGTACTCAAACATTCTTCTTTTCTTTCTCTGCCTGACTTTTTTGAAACTTTGCTCTACAACAAGAATTTCACTAAGTTCTCTTGCTAACAATGTTGCCGCCACAACCTAAATCTAAATTTCTGAAAAAAACTGAGCTAGCCTTTAAAGTAACTGCGACGCAACTCCAAGGGCATTTTTTGAGTCTGTAGGCTTGTTTTTCATAACTTATTTCATTCATAACTGATGGTGTTTCACTATTGTTTTTTTTTGGATCCTCAGTGAACTTAACTAGTTCAACTAATGCAATAAGAACCTCCTTAATTTGATATCGAAGCGCTTTTATGCTTTCCAGTTTACTTTCCCAACAAATGCCACAGAACCTTTTTACAGCAAGATTTAGTACTTGTTGAATAAAAATTTACCATTGCATTTTTGACGAAGAAAAAGTACATAAATTTTTTTCACAACACCAAAAAATGTCATAGATTTAGATAAACATTTTGCTGCGTTCCAAATTAGGAAGTTGAGGTTATGGCTAGCGCAGGGCATGTAAAACGCTGTTGAATTTATTTCTAAGATCCGTGCCTGTACTCAAAAGTGGGTACTTTTTATATTGGAACCGTTGTCATACCATTGTCCCCTTCAGTCCCTGATTTGCAATCCAATTTCATTTAACTCTTGTAAAAGAACACCAGTTAGATTTTTTCCCGTTGTTGATTTAACGTCTAAAAATCCAAGGAAATGTTCTTCGATGCTTACATCTTCATTTTCACTTTTAAAAAAAGTTGATTTCTACAAATCACATGACCAGTGATAACTGCTCCTTATGACTAAGATCCGGTGTGCAGCCTATTCATTTTTTACCTTTTTTTTTGTTTAACTTTTTTTAGTAATTTTATTTTACTTACGTTACTTTTGAATTTTATTTTATATTCTTTTATTTAATTCGTTCTCGTTTCTTCTTTTTAAATATTTTGTTTTTTCTTCTTTTTTAATTTTGAAAAACAAAATGAAATTTTCGCCTGATCTATTAATTTTTTTTTTAACTTTTTCAGTTTTTAAAAAAGTATTTTATAACCGTTAAACGGAAGAGCTTCAATAGCTTCGAACAATATTTTTCATTTTTTTGTTCGCTATTACCGCGTACGAAGGAAAATCATGTTGATGTTTTTTTAATTAATAAATAATTGCGCAGGTAATTAGATATTTTTGGCACGTATATTATTATTATATGTGACCTCGCGGTATGGACCAGATAGGGGGAATGAGTTATTCATACCACAGAAACAAGCTAATTAAACTGAACAAAATGACACCAAGATCTTTAAAATAGTTCAACTGCATCCAAACTTATGATTTTTTATATTCTAAAGTTTAAAAACGGCAATAGTCAGGAAAATCAATTTAAAGTTTTAATAAAAATGTTATTTGCAATATATTTGGAAAATGTTGAAAGTTACATGATGATGTTGTCTAATGTAATCAATTCAAATACAGATTTGAATTGATTACATTAGACAACATCATTCTTAATGAAAATAAACAATAAAACAATGAACCAGACTTGTTTTTTTTAAATATCCAACTTTTTAAGGTCAAAATAATACGCAAAAAATAAGGACAAAACCGGGAAAATCATGTTTTTTCAAAAAAAATTATAAACATAATTATGTCTTGTTTTTTTTGCAATTAGCTTTATTTTTGGAATGAAAACAAGGAAATCATTCTTTCTAATGTCAATAATCAAATTTAATTATTATTATCATTCACAAAAGATTCAATATCTTAAAAAATTATTAAAATAAAAAAAATTCCAAAGTTTAAAATTTTTTTTTTTTAAACTACAAAACTTAAACTAGAACAGACTTTTTGCCTGTAATCTCAACAAGGGAATAATAATTATACATTGTAATAACAGTACTTGGTACAAGTAAAAAAAAACTTAACTAAAAAAAATAACTAACTGAAAATCTACAACTGATTATAATGAATATCTTATTTCAAGCATTGTCTGCTGCACTTTGAGGACACAACCATTTTCCATTCCTTATTGCACTTCTATGTCCAAGCTGATGGCAATAGGAGCACGTTGGTTTTTTCCTAGTGGCTACTTTGCCGAAAACTCTATTTTCATGAATTTTTCTTTGTGGATGAGTCAAAATAGCACATCAAAAAAAAAGAAAATGAATCCCTAAAGGGGCTCAAGACCCACCACCCCCTCTGGATCCGCCCCTGGTCATTATTAGTGTAATAGTGAATTCAAATCACCATAATAGGTATACTTAAGCATACTGGTATTTAAATCATTCAGCAAAACGCTACATTATCGCCAATTAGATAAGGGACCACAAGGGGTCGAAATTTTAAAGTACACATCAAAGTATTTTTTGGGATGTATTACACAACAGAATGAATTCTTTGTATTACGTCATCATTTATACTAATAAATTATAGTAAAACTTACAGAAATTCTGTTTTTTAATAAAAAAACGAAAAACGAAAAATGAAAAAAATGCTACAGATAAAAATGGTAAACACTTGAGTTTATCCAAACAAATAATATATTTTTATGCCACCTAGTGATTAAAAATAAATGATACAAAAAGTAGCGTTCGTAAAGTACTGTTTAAACTAACCAAAACCAAAATGCAAAAGAAAGAGCTAGAGTTCTTTAAAATTCCCTACTCCGGTCCCTTTTAAGGAACTTTTTCAAACGCTCAACTAGAATTAAACGAACGTTAATATGACCAAAATAATAAATTTAGTTAATAGTCTGATAATTCATCTATCAAATTCAAATAAAAACAGAAAACTTAAAAACCACAGGCCAATGTGTTTAAATGTGGTTTTCTCAGAAACTAGATCCCACCATGTGGTCCCTTTTCTACCGCCAGGTAACATATTATTTTCACTTAACAAAATTTTTTCTTATTTTTTAACGACAATAACGTCTTTTATTTTTTAACGAGAGTAAGGCATTGCTGCGCAAGGCCTACTTTCGTTAACAAGTAGTAAAAGTTTTAATTGCTCGTGTTTAGGACGGCCTCGCGCAGCCTTCCTAACCGCGAGGCCTGGAGCGGCTGCTCCACTCGCGTCACCCTAAGGACGGCTCTGTATATATATATATATATATATATATATATATATATATATATATATATATATATATATATATATATATATATATATATATATATATATATATATATATATATATATTGAATTCTTGAATTTAATTTTAATAAGTTCAAATTTGTCCCATGTTTCATCTAAATCCATTTCATCATTAATATGATATACCAGAATGATATGATGTACCAGATATGATATACCAGATAGCTATATGATATACCGATATAGCTATATGTTATAGATATATAGATATATAGATATAGCTATATGTTACATATATATAGATATATAGATATAGCTATATACCGAGATAGCTATATGATATACAGATAGCGAAATGATATACCAGAAGGCCAAAGTAATATATTTTTTTCTGTATCTATTCATCTTTTAGGCACGACATCTTCTATTTCTTTATAGTTCTCTAATGTATTTAGAGTTAATATATGATGTACTAGAAAAATATCTGATGTTTATATTTTATTTATGGGGGTTATTGTTTTTTAAAGCTAAAAGAATATTGTTATACAACAGCAGCAGAAGAAGAGGATGAAACAGATACTTGTTTAATGAGTGTTTCCAAAGGCGTCTTTAAATTGAAAAGTAATGTTTATGATTATTATTTTCATGTTTATAATTTGTTTATATTATATTATAAATTATAAATAAATTTATTATAAATAAAATAAAAAATAAGTTATATAAATATTATATTTTAGAGTTACTCGATTTTCCATTGCCTCCACCAGTTTTCAAATCCGTTTTAACAAAATCATTAAAGAGATCCTTTGATTTTAATTTGTCACCTGGATTTATATTTTTAAAACAATCAAATATGTATTCTGGTATCTAATAATTTTTAAGTTATTAAAATTTAGAATATATTCAATTTGAAATACCTACAATCTACAACATTTCTGTGTTTTTATTTTTAGCTTTAGCTGACACTTTTTTATCTATATATACAGAGGAATATCGACTTCGTATTCTGACTCACTATGTTTGTATTACTTTTAAATTTTTTATTTAAAGTTTTTGTTTGTTAAAGTTGGATTATTATTTTGTTGTTAATTTTAGCTTTGCCTAACTTCTTTTTACCTTCAAAATCATCTGAAATGGAGCAATCAAAATTTCATACGGGTACACCTACATCTACGGGTACAGTCTCTTTGATAACTAAAATATTTAATCTAAAATTTTTTGTTTGAAAACTGTAACTGTTTATGTAGTATGTTTACAAGTTTTTTGCCCCTTGGCAAACAGCTTGTAACAATACTTTATATATATATATATATATATATATATATATATATATATATATATATATATATATATATATATATATATATATATATATATATATATATATATATATAAGTTCGTTCACGTTTTCTTATAAAATATTAGTTTCACCTCATACTCAAGAGTCCAAAAAAAAGAAAACAAAAGAAGAGGTACAAAAACAATGATTAAAACCCTTGGAGCCAAGAAGTTTGTTAAAAATCAGTTTCCAATGGAAGTTGGAAGTAAACCCTTTAGCATTTTATTGATTTTTTAATTGCAATAAATTTAGGTGAGTTTTTTTGAGGTAAAAATAAAAGTTGTTGATTATTTTGAAATTGTATAAGTAAATGCATTCTATACATTTAATTTTTATTTTCTTTATATACCAGTATATGATGTTCAAGATGGTACCAAAGATTCTTGAAAACCAGGAGCTTATTATTGCAACAAATAAGCAACCCCATAATAATTTGACAGTCAAGTAATTAGAGACAATTGCCGAGTATAAAAATTTCCTCAAATATTTAGAGGATGATTCGGTTCGACTTGATTTGGTAAATGCTATGTTTTTACATATTAAAAAATGCAAATAATAATTTTAACATAGTTTTGTTATTTTAGTTGTGAAGTTTTTTTATTTAGGTTAAACAATTGATTATGAATAGGTTTTTTTAATTATATTTTTATACGAGCAATCATTTTTGTATATTTATTTGCCATTTTTTATATATACATTTAAAATAAATTCATAACATAAGATATATAAAAAATGTCCGTTGGTATTTGTAAAGTTCTTTTTTTTTATAAATTGTATTCATTATGTTATATAGACTATTTAAAAATACCCTGTTGACACAGTTCAACTTAAAAGGTTCTGCTGGAAAGATTGATTTATCATCAACCAAACTATATGATGTAATAGAAGGTAATAAAAATAGTTTTAATGTAATAATATTTTTTAATATTCAGTATTTGATTAAATTATTTTTTAAATTAGTCAAAATTATTTTTAAGATTTTTGTTCGACAAAATTATTTGTCAAGTTTACATTTTATTATTTGAAAAGTATCTTTAAACTTTATTTTATATTTAGAAGTTGTAAAGAGAAGATTTGAAAGAGTTTAAATGCTGATATTAAACAGCAAATTGGACAATTCTGTAAAAATGCTCTATCGCAGAAAAATACAAATTAAATGAATTATTGTTTTTTCTTGTATATATTATTGTATGCTGTATACATTATTATATAGAAAGTTACTTTATTAAAATCCAGCTAATTGTATAAATAAATCAAGTTAATTGTACTATATGTTTGGTTTTTTTTCAATTTATTTTTTCCTCAATAATTATTATAAATTATAATGTAACATAATAACTAAATAAATCTTTGAGCCGTCTTGAGTGGGACGTGTTAAAGCAGTACTCCGGATAACGTCTTTTCGATGGACAAAGGTGACCATTTTAAGACGTCTTTAAGATGCTAATTTTTATCTTAATTAAATATCTAAAAGTCGTCTAAAATTAGAATAAATGACGCCTTGAATAAAACGTCTCTAGTGCGCTTGGATAAGACATTTTTAATCTGTCTAGAGTAAGACAACCTTAAGGAATCTTAAGTAAGATATCTTTTTGACGGACAAGATAGACCTTTTTAAGACATCTTTAAGACGTCTTAAATAAAACATCTTTAGGCTGTTTAAATAAGACGTTTCAAATCGGTTTTTAGTAAGACGTCTTCAAACAATATTGTATAAAATGTCTTTTCTACAGACAACGTAGACCTTTTTAAGATATCTTAAAGATATTTTTTTAATCTTGGAAAGACGAATTTAAGACAGCTAAAATATGTCTTTTTGTTTGCTGGGATTGATTGATTTCATAACAAGAAAAAATTTGTTGAGGTTTTTAATTATGGCTTCTTTATTATAAATCATTTCCCCATCAACTAAGAGTTTTTGTGGCAAACTATTTTTAGGACATTTTTTTTTTCCAATTATCTGCTTAATCACATTCCACGTTTTTTGTGTGTTTCCGCGTGTTTTTTCAAACAAGCTTGCATAATATTTTTTTTTTTTTGCATGTTTCTTCGTTTTTTCAAACATGTATTTATAATTTTTTGTATTTTTATTCATTTTTATATGTTTTATGTTTTAAATACTTTTCGTAAAGTTTTTGTTTTCTCTTTGATGATTTGTACAAACCTTTGGTCATTCAAGGGTTCAAAAAGGAATTAGAATTTATATATATATATTTTTTACTGGAAATGCCAAATTATAGTGTTTACAAAACTATACCAAAAAAAAATTCATACGCATTACTTTTTTTTTTTTTTTTTTTTTTTTTCCAGAAAAATATGAACAAGGTAATTTTATATTGAATATATTACTGGTAGGACTTCCAGAAGATCACATGATCTTATCATAAAGCCCTTTACAATCTATATAACGAATTAAAAGGTAGAAAATTTACAAATATTAAAAATTACATAAGCGTTAGAATATTCTTCAGATGTTAAGCAAGTTTTAACATAATATTTTATAATATGGATATATAACATTCTCAATATTGAACAATATTATAATATAAAGTATTCAGCATACATTGTTTATATAATATTCATCATACAGTCGACAAAAATATCAAATAACTTGAAATACTAATAGTAAATAAATATATTTTGTGTTGAAAAGATTATTTCTTTTGTTTTCTTTTAAAAGGAGGAATAAGACCATTTAAAAGAAAAATTAAAGTTAGGTAAAACTATTTTATTCCAAAGAAATGGACCACGATAAGAAATACAAAACTGGTCAATTTTTGTTTTGCAAAACGGCTCTTGAATATTTTTACTATCACGAAGTTCATATTTGTTTTTTGGTTTCAAATTATAGAGATTTATAAATACACTTGGGTATAAATTTTCTTTACATTTAAACATAAAACATAAAATATTAAAAATATTTAGTTCGTATATATTTAAAGCTTTCATTTCTATAAGAAGTGGTGTTAAGCTTGTAAAACGATTTCCAAAATTAATTATGCGAGCTGCGTGTTTCTGATGCCGATAGAAAGATTTAAGTTTGGTTTTGTGAGCGCTTCCCCATATAATATTGGCATAGTTTATATGGCAATGAATAAATGAATAATATAGTTGAGTTAGTTGCTTTTTATTTAGTATATATCGAGCTTTGTATAGAATTCCAATGTTTTTTATTGAAATACTATCAGTTTGTTGACTCCAAGATAAGTTTTTATCTATTATGACTCCTAAAAATTTTGTAAATTTTTCTCTTTTTATGATTGTATTGTCAATGAATAGGTCAGGTAAGATATTTTGGATTCTCTTTTTTTTAGAGGTTGGGTGAAAAAGTATAAACTTTGTTTTATCCGTATTCAAGGACAATTTATTTTTTCTAAACCAATATGATATTCTTTTTAATTCATTATTCATATTATTAAAAATTTCTATGTTTTCGTGCGACTGAAATAAATTCGTATCATCTGCAAAATTTACGGTCGTTAGGGTAGAAGCTTTGTAAAGATCATTTATGTATAATAGAAATAATAGTGGTCCAAGTATGGACCCTTGGGGGACACCGCATGTTATATTTTTTATTATTTACGATGAAGATTCTTTGTTATAAACAAATTGTTTGCGGTTACTTAGATAGCTTTTGAACCAATTTAGGGTTTTATCTTTTATACCATAGCTCTCTAGCTTTTTTATTAAAATATGATGATTAACAGTATCAAAAGCTTTTGACAAGTCAATGAATATGCTTAGTGTGAATTGAGAATTCTTAAATGAATCGACAATACTGCGTGTTATTTGGAGAATAGCGTGTTCAGTAGAACTGTTTCTCTGAAAACCAAATTGATTTTTATAAAGGAGTTTATTATCAATAAGATAAGTGTAAATTCTATTATACATTATTCTTTCTAATATTTTTGAAAAGACCGGTAGAACTGAGATAGGACGATAGTTTGTTATGTTGGTATGGTCACCTGTTTTAAAGATTGGAGTTACTTTGGCTATTTTCAAACTATTTGGAAACAATCCTTGAGTAATAGATGCTTTGAAGACTTTGAAGAGGATATCTTTAATCTTATTAAAAGAGTCGATTACATTATTTCCATTTATATCATCAGGCCCTATTGCTTTATTCCTTTTTAATAATTTAAATGCAATTTCGAATTCATTATAAGTTAGATTTGAAAAATTTATAGTTGAATTTGGTGATGATATAAATTCATCAACAGAGTTGTTGTCTACATAAGGAATCTTGTTTGATAGGTTATGTCCTATTGACGAAAAAAAGTTATTGAATTCGGCTGCGATTTCATTTGAATCGGTAATTAACTTTTTTTCAAATTTTATAGCATTCGGTATCGTATTTGCGTTTGTCTTATGTTTGCTAGTAATTTCTTTCATTATTTGCCACACCCGCTTTGAATTATGCTTGTGTTTTATAAGCAAATATATATATATATATATATATATATATATATATATATATATATATATATATATATATATATATATATATATATATATATATATATATATATATATATATATATATATATATATATGAGATTCCAATCAGTTTTTTCAGATAAAGGTTTTCGAAAGAGTAATATAGAGTTTTCATTGATTTGTCGTATTAAGATTGTTGATTTAGGGACAAAATGGTTAAGGGTTATATTTTCTGTAATTAAGAATATTGGGTAATGATTAGATATGTCGGTTTTGATTATACATTTTTACTGGCTGAAAGTTCTTTAAACAGCATGCTGAATATTTCAAGAGATCAGAAATTGATTGAAAAGTAACTAATAAAAAATGTAGTATCTAAAACAACCTCCTTTTTTTTTTTTTTTTTTGAAGACCTCATTCTTGTTAGTGCATTAAATATTTTAATTCAGTTTCACAGCTTGGGGAGGAATGAACTGTATCTTCAAAGGTAGAAGTGAAACTCTTAAAGAATGAGATGGAAAATGTTCATTGATTGAAAAGATCAAAAACAATTGTGCATACTAAAAATGTATATTATCTTTTTATATTTTATAATGCACTTGATCAATATTTTATTGTTTTGAGAAGCCCCTCAAAGTCAAAAAATTGTTAAATTATATGTGATAAGCTTGAAATATTTAAAAGTATTTAGGAATACAGCTGTGATGTCATATTAAAATATTTAAAAGTATTGGGAATAAAGCTATGATGTCATATTAAGTTTAAGCAAAATATACTTAAACTGCACAATAAATTCTTGTGCAGTTTAAGTATATTTTGCTTAAATTTAAACTTTAATTAAATACCTAATAAAAAGATTGTCTGTCTCCACTCATGCTAAATTATAATTAATCAAGAGATTTTAAGTTTCATCTAATAATCTTGAAGATTCTGAAAGTTATGACAATGTAAAGTTTCCAACCTCCCCATTTTAGGGAGAAACCCCTCCCCAAAAGAGGATTGTAAATTTAAAATAGTCATTATTTAATAAATGTGAAAATCGCCAATGAAGATAAATTTAGTATAAAATAGTAAAAAAATTAAAAAAAAAATTTAGCTCAATGCTTCCTTATTTTGAGTAATGAACCTTTTTGGAGTATTTCTGTTTCCAGGCCCATATCACATTTGATTTTTTAGGTAAGCAATATTGTTTGAAATTAACAAACATAGTTACGTTTGCAATTTATAAAACATCTGATTGTGTCAAAAGTATACCATAGTGTGTCAAATCTGGAGTTTGCACATCTGAAAGTACCAAATCAATCAATTTAAATTTTACGTACGTTAGATATTTGGATACGCGTTCGTTCACGTTTTATTATAAAACAAAGTGCTGCGACTCTTTCTCGCCACTACCTCTGTTGAAATAGCTGCCTAGGGTTCTGTGTCAAACAGGCTCTAAAGCGCAACATACTACTAACACTACTATTAAGTTCAGTATTATTAAGTAGATAGATGTGTGTGTGTTGTGTGTGTTTATATGTGTGTGTATATATATATATATATATATATATATATATATATATATATATATATATATATATATATATATATATATATATATATATATATATATATATATATATTAAATATCAAATAGATAGAAAACGTTGTGTTGCTTTAACTAATTATTACCAATTAAATTTTTATTCAAATTATAATTTACTAGCAGTAAGCAACCCGTA